GTGTGTGTGTGTGTGCATGATGAAACCTTGAAAGCCTCAACTTCAGTGGATCCTGATTATCTGATATGAAACATGCAGCGTGAGGCAAGATATTTTGGGGGATTACATCAGAAACACTCTGGAAGCACAAACCCAGAGCAGATCTTACAGAGATGTCAGTGATGATGGTGCTTGTGGCAGCTTCTCTGATTTCTACCTTGTTCAGCCAGTTGCCCGACTGGGTGAGTGGTTCGGAGATGCTGGCGCGCAGGTAGCTGCTGGCTCTGTCACAGTGGGACAGACAGGCCACTGCTCCTTCTCCCTTCAGAGGCAACAGACTCATCTGAACAGTTTTGCAAAGCAGCAGCACAGCCTTGGGAAGAGAGTGACTGAAACAGAGAGGAACAGGGAGGACGGTTAATGAGTGTCTCTTTAAAACAAGGACACAAGTGTTCATCTTTACCAACATCCTTCAGTCTGATTTAATGCCAAGGTTGGAAATGGAAAAAAATAGCTTCAGTCTTACTAGTTTCCTTTTTATCTTGAATTGTTCTCTACACACAGACTGTTCAAACATACAGCAGATTCATATTAAGAATCCGTTTAAAGAGAAATCAGGATTCTGATTCCAGCTCGAGGCGATCTGAAATAAGTCAAAGCTCAAACGAAGCCTGTAATGTGAGCTGTTAAATAATTGAATGAAATCTTTGTCTTCACCTTGTTAATTCTAGTTTCTGCACAGCAGAGTGAGCCTGTATGTTCTGTAACTTAAACACTATTTCACTTACTCAAGAGTGTGTAGAGCCCTCGGCATCCGCTCCGCCTCCGCCAGCAGTGACCTCACTGCAACGTCATCACCCTGCAGCCAATGCACAGCAGCCTTTAGGACCAAGGCCCACCAGCGACTCACCGGGTCTCCCACTGGCACAAAGAAGGAGATGGAGAAAATAAACAGACCAACAAATGAGTGGAGAATTCTTTTTTTGTTGTTGTTGTTTTGTTGTGGCTGTGAGAAACTTTTTCTTGTTAAGATTAATATCAGGAATGATGTCGTGGCAAAAGTACTGATTTGCTTTCCTGTTGTATCAATGATTGACACTGTAGTTACTTAATATGGCCTGAACAGAACACCAATGTGTTCATATCCCCTGCAAGACATTTATTAACACAAATCATTCACTGCAAGTCTTATCTGTGATAATTCAAACTGTCTGAAAGTGAAGTGTAAACAAAGCCAAGAAAGTCTATTCATGTTGACGATAAGAACTCAGATCATTATCTGGTTAATCCTCACTGACGAGCTTTCCCACACACACACACAACTGCATCAATCACCTGATATGATTCACACTTCTATCTAAATGGGATGGGTTATTCTCTTCATGCTATTCATACCTGGTGTGGTGGTGTGATTGGGAGGAGTCGAGAAGGGAGGAGGAGGAGAAGGAGAGTCCTCCGTACAGCTGTTCAACAACTGGAGGAACTCCATAGCACTTGAAAACTCCCTAAAAAAGTAACAGAGTAGGAAATAGACAGAAGATGTTTACCGACTACATTTTGAAAGCACACCAAACCGTAAAGATCGAGGAAGCCCTGGATTCCCCAGCCTTACCCAGAGTCGTTCTTGCGTTTGCCTGCTTCAGAGTCGCTCTGCGGCTGAATGAGGGTGTGAACAGCTCGCTCCAGAAGCTTCCTGCAGAAGCAGCGGTGCAGCTGGGCGATGGGGTCAGCTGCAGGAAGAGCCACACGTAACGAAGAGGAACAGCTTAATTATCGCACATATGATTTATTTCAAAATCTCTCATACGGGCCAACTCCTCCGCTCATGACTCATAACATACCTGGATCTCTCTGAGAAGTGTACACGCTGTCGCTGCACTCCGACTTCACTGACCAATCACAGCTCAGGAAGAACTGTCTGCCCAACGGGGTGAAGAGCCAGCGGAGGCAGTCGGGGATCGGCTTGCTGTCTGACTGACTGGCCACACTCTCAGCACAGCTCAGCAGGTAACCCTGGGAGACACGGAGGAAAAGATGATGACGATGAAAGTTAAATAAATGTATTTGCTTCTTTGATGCTCTGTGAGACAAACTGAGGACACATGATGCATCATGAAAACGACATACAGGCAAAAAGGAGAGGTGGTGGCCCAGCAGTGTGCGCAGGGCCGTAGCCGCAGTGACGTAGATCTGAGTGAGCTGAGCAGGGGCCATCTTGCCCTGGGCGCTCTCGCTGAGGTTGACAGCGCTGAGAGAGAGAGACAAAGCCCACAAGCTGCTTCGCTGAGGCAACTTTCCTACAGACACAGAGAACAGAACCTGTATAACTGCTCTCTCACTTTCATAGCATGTACTTACTGAACCCTGTATTCTGCTGTTCATTAAGTCCAAACCATGAATCATATCCCGACAGCCTGTGTACAGCAGCGGATCACTCTGTCCTCGACACATACCTGTGAGCTGCAGCTGACTCAGACGGTGGTAAACCAGAGCCGCGTCCTTCGCGCTCGTCCGAGCCTCCTCTCCCTCGTGCTTTCCTCTGACCTGGTGAACCAGCCATCCCAGAGGAGTTGGACGATGCAAACAGTAGCGAATAAGATTCCAGGACAGCGAGCAAACCAGATCCAGATTGGTTGAGGGAAGAGCTCGGGTCAAGACGGTCAAGCAGGTCTCTAAACTAACCAAAGCTGCTTTGTAATCTCCCTGCAGGAAAAATAGGAGATGGGAGAAATTGTATAAGATAATATTCATTATTCCGTTGAGACTGACAGCGAAGATGCAGAGAAGGTCATGAGTTAGGTCTGAACACGATTTGAACAAACGCTAAAAATAAATCTTTGCACTGAGATCTTCAATAGGTGAGAAAACATCCAGCATTAGAAGAGACAGAGTGAGTGGATCCAGTGTTCTCACTGCCACAAGAAATAACTGCTGTTATCAAGAAATTCCAGATCATGATCTATTTGCATAAACAGAGTAGATTCTGTTGTTTTGACCATAATCAATCTGCCTAATAAAAAAAAACACAATAAACACAGGTCAAGATGAAATCGACTGATAGCATGATTCATATTTGTCAAACCTTCATGATAATATCATCACGGTGAATGATTTAGGCCACAGTTATGGTTCTGTGCCTGATATTGTGTCAACCCTCGTCCTGATGTGTACGCACCCTGTTGAGATGCAGGTCGGCTTGTTTGCGATGCCTCCAGAAGGACACAGACTTCGGGGAGTGAAGGAGTGTGACGGGCTCCCACAGGTAGAGCACCCTGACACAACCCCACACAGCCCCCACCCCGCTCAGCACCCACACCATCACCCATGGCAACAGGCACCGCAGCCAGGATGCTGGAGGATGAGAGGGATTGAAATATGAGGTGAGGTCATGGGTTTAGAAGTTATCGTGAACCCTCATCCACAGCTGGGGTCAGTCCTGCTCACCGAAGTCCTGTGTGTGGGTTGGGAACCAGACAAGCGTTCTGGATGGCCCATGGCCGGCGATGGGGCCGTGGCTCCCTGAGGCTTCAGAGCCCAGAAGAGAGGGCAGCGGGTTCAGTGACAGGCAGAAGAAGGTGAGGGCGCAGAGAAGCAGTCGAGAACGATCCATCACTCCAACGGTGGACGGAGAATCTGGTTCACTCTTCACCTGACAGAGAGAAAGAGAGACATTAATTAATAATTAATAAGGAGAATACGATTTGGAGATGACAGGAGAGTCTAATCCCGCCTATGTGTGTTTGGGTTTTTACCGGGTCGTGATCCAGTAAGGGACTGCCTGGCTCCGAGTCAACACAGTACGGAGAGAACTGCTGAGGGGAACTGGAGCCAGAGTCCGAGGCTGGAGGTGACATCATTACTATTTCCTGTTTGAGCTCCACGTCTTCAGACAGCGTCACTGGCTCTGAGACAGAAAGAGAGACTGTCATTAAAATCTCAACCTGTGTCAGATGATGCTCTGCTTCCATTGCTGTTAAACACTTACTGTTCTTCTGGTTTCCCATTTTAAGGGCCAGGTTCTCCTGCCGTAGTTTGTGGTTGACCTGTTGCAAGTATTTGATGTAGTCGATGGCCTTCCGAAGCACTCCTGATTTGTGCATCTGGGAAGAAAGGCATGAAGACAAAACATAGTCACACCCTCAAGCAACTTGTGACGTTAAACTATCTCAGCGTTAAGATCACAAACCTTTGCGTCGTTGCCCATGACCAGGTCTCTAAGCTCGATGATTTTGTCATTGATGGAGGAGCGATACCTCTTCTCGATGATGTTGTGTGTTGTCCTCCTCTCGCCCTCCTTCACCACTCCTCCCGGGCCCAGTACTCCTGCGCTCATGAGGCTATGCTCCATATTTGATCTGGCAGCATTTGAGCAGTGGGAGGAGCCTGGCTGCAGCTGCTTGATTGGCAGCTTGTCTCCTCCGCCCATCACCACAGGGACGGTGGTCAGGATGTTGCTGCTCATCAGCGTCTGAAGACCAAAGTCAGTAGAAGTGCGATAGTGTCAGTGTGAAGTATTAATGGTTAATGGGTCTGTGTGATGTTGGGGGACAGAGAGCAGCCAATCAAAGCCCTTGTAATGTTTGTGGTCGCAGTGAAAGGTGGATGAGACAGACGGATAATGACGCATCAGATAAAATAAAGAATTAGCCTGTAGTGTGTTCTCTGTGTCCAGAGTTAAATAACTAGTGTGTGTATTTGAAATCAGCCGATTAGAATAAGATCAGCTCGCTGTATGTTAGCATTAACAAGAAGTAACACTCCCAATTTGGACCATTATAAAGAAACAAAGGGTTATGTGCAGTAACTGTGAAGTAACTGGAGCTGGTTTCATACCGGGACTTGCATGGGCGTGGTTAAGGTGGTGATCCCCGTGGGGCTCTGCATGGTCGACAGCACCTGCGTGCCGTCTGGTTTGAGAGTTGTGAGAACCAGCGAATCTGTTTTCAGAATCTGAGGCTGCTGGACCAGAACCTGGTGGAAAGAAATCCAAAGGGTCAATGTGAGTTTATGTTTGCTCACAAGCAATTTTATAAAAAAATTAAAAGTTTGATATTCAGATCCGCTGTCTCTCTACTCATGTCCATATCTATACCAACTTTATGAAACAAAGTTATTTGTCTATGAGCTATTTTCTGAAGCAAATGGGGTCAAATTGATAGTTTGGTTTGTTGACATATTAACTTTCACTACCAGATATCAAATAACCATATCAACCCTCTTTCTAAATCATTGTCTGACAGAAAGAACTGTGAAACTGGTACCTGCTGCACCTGCTGCTGCACAGTGTGGACTGTGGTCGGTGCAGCGGACAGAGTCTGGATGGTTTGACCTGTTGGAGTCAGAAGACGCTGATGCTGAATGGTCAATGGTTGGAGCTGTGGTGAGGTCATGATGCTCTGCATCTGTGGTTGGATGACTGAGAAGAGGAGACAAGATGACGGATGAAAAAAAAACACTGTGGTTCTGATATGGATCCCAAGAACTAACTATTGCCTCAACAACACATACAAATTCAAAATCTATTCTTCAAAAAGGCTATGATGTATGACTTGATTCATAGCCACGCTATTATCGACCACTGAATTATATTTATATTCCATGTTTAACAGAAAACACTCATATTCTTCTCCTCAGTCACCTTGGAAACCAGGAGCGGGGCTCTGGTGGCAGATGACAGGGCTCTGGATGAAACGCGACTGCCCACCGTTGGGGGCAATCATCACAGTTTGCGCTGCCTGGGTCTGGATGGGCAGCGGCGTCTGGCTGTGAGTCTGAACTAAGGTGTGGACCGGGAAGCTCTGGGTCTGCATCGGGATCCCCTGGGTGTGCATCTGCATTCAAGTGAAAAAAAAATGCTGATGCCACATAAAACAGTTCATGTGCCTGTATCTGTTTTGGGAAAAATGGGTTTGACTCGAGACAATAAACTACATCTCTCAGGTTGACTGCAGTATTTGCTGAGATGAGCATTGGTTTGTAAGGATGCTGAGCTGGATAATTTATTTTACAGTTTGTCAGGACACTGAAATTTCTCTCATGTCAGCAGAAGCTTTTTTTTTTTTTATGTATGGATTGAACAATAACAGAAAATAAGACCTCGACAGAAAACAAGAATAAGCTAGAGAGGCAGGCACCTTGAGAATAGCTTCAGAATCATAATAGCAGCACTAGTACCTCGTTGCAGCAGTCATGCACCCTGATCAGCTCCAAACAATGCTCCACAACTTTAACAGCTCAACTCTAAACACAGCTTTCAATACTTACTAGTAGAATGAGTAAAACATAAATTATTACCCAAGTCTCGCGTGCATGTGGAATTAGAGTTGATACCTGGATGGTAGGCTGAGCCGTCTGTTGGGGCTGAGGCTGGATAGGTTGGACCACCTGAGGCCGGGGCTGAAGGAGCGGAGGGCTGCGGGTCACCTGCTGCTGCACGGAGGAGGCGGTGATAGGAGAGGGGGTCTGGGCGGGAGTGAGGGGAGGGGTGAGGGGTAAAGACTGGGGAGACAGTGTCTGGGGGCTGGTGAGGCTAACGTTGGAGTTCAGGTAGGGAACTGGGGTTGGTGTCTGGGGGGTTTGGGGAGCTTGAGGGGTTTGAACAGCAGGACGTGGGGTGATGCTGGCCCTGCCGCTCTGTAGTGAGCCTGCTGAGTTCATCTGGTCCTCAAACAAGTCTGGGAAGTCCCCCACTTGGTTGCTGACAAACTGCAGCATCTCTGAAGAGGCAGAAAAAACCTTGGGCATTAATATAAGTTTGGATTTGATAAAGAAATCTAATTCATTAAATTGGTTCAGTAACATGAAAACAGATATCATAGCTTAAATACCAAGAAAGGTCATTGAGATAAATAGATTATTGACAGACCTGTAACAGTATTTGCAACATAAGCTAATTCCCATGACTCATGATGAAATTACTTGATTGCCTTTAAGTCAAGGCCTTGTCTGACTGACAATATTACAGTGACAGGAGGCAATAATTGTGTTAAGTGTCTCAAATGTCCTTGAGTCAGATTCTCAACTGAATCTACACATAAGGTTACACAGACCCAGTGTCTATCTGGCAGAGATATTATACAAGACAGATAAGACTAGAAAATCCCAAAGAGTCCCGGCCTTGAACCATCACATGCATTCACAGAAACAGCTACTGTACTGCTCCGGTCATAAACCAGTGAACCGTTATAGATCAGGTCTGTAAACATGCAGCCTTGAAAGTATGGAATGGTAAGGATGTAATCTTACAGATGACCCTCAAAGACAATAGGAGCAGGGTGAAAGAGCACTGAGATAAAGACTCAGGCAGCTAGAAGAGAGCTGATGGATGATGCTTTGATTGTCTTTCTAGTCCTAGTGTTCGCACAGATAACTTGGAAAAGTGTTTTCTGACGATATGTTGTCGACCTCGATCTTTGACTGATAAGCTCCAAAAGTTAATCATCAGGAAACACACACACGTGCACACAGAGACAGGGGCAAAAACAACACTCGGCTTCAAGCTACATCAAGGTGCAGGAAACAGAGTTAAACAAAGTTAAACAAAGCATGCAGACAGTTTCAGATGCTCACACCGTAGTTATATTAACCAACCTTTCTGTTCGGAGCATGTACACATTATATAGGTGGACACAATAGACCAAGCACTTATACTCCTCCACGGGGGGTCAGATTGCTAATGAGAGACTGGACAAAGCCACTCCTAGCCCCCAGTGTTTGGGACAGGCTGACACAAAGGGTAAATCCATCAAAGAGGGACAGTTTGCTCGGCTGCTGAGAGCAAAGAAAATAGGTTACATAACCAGAGCCTTGGTTGCTAAGGGAATAATTGAGAGAGGGAGAATGTTCCAGATGAATATAGGGTCAACTACTTGGGCACCTTCAGGGGCCTCCGAGGCCTCACTCTCAAAGAAATGCACATCTTCGGAGATGTGCATTAAACCAGCTGCTGCTGCACAAACAGCAAAACTCAGCTGTGACTCCATTTATTATTAGAAAGTGGCTGTGATGGATATACATCTAAAAGTATGACCTTCTAAATACTTTGAGAAATACTGCTCAGACTTTCTAAAGCTGAGGTACATTTGTCTGCAGTTGGCTGCTCTGACTAATGGGGAAAATACAATTATCAATCAGCTGTGGGCCGAACAGAAACTAGCAAAATTGAGTGTGGGCTCTCTTTGAGCAATTTGCCTGTATGTTCATCAGTCAGTTGTCACTCCTCTCTCTCTCTCACACACACACACACAATCTGTACATTCCTCTCTTTTGATACAATGATTAAGTAGGATTACATAACTGTGGCTGGGGGTGCGCTGTCTGCTCATTCTTTGTAAAGGCTCCCATTGAAGTGAGAATTACCACCAGACACCAGAAGACAGGTAGAGTTTCAGGAATGTTTCATGAGCCTGTGTGCAGTATCATCAACTTTGGCCATTACGGTTTGTTACATACTGGGGCCTTGTTATTGTGCTTGCACGGCTATCCTTACTAGGACACTGTTCATTGTTGACAACCTAACCAAAACCTTCTCTCTAATCTCAACCTTGACCAACTCATGTCTAACCTTAACCTAACCACAACATATCTGACCCCTGAGCTCAACCAGGAGCTCACAGATGATGATTACTACTGAGCTTTGGTCCCATGAGCTCTACTGGGCCTAACTAGGTCAAGGTTTATGTGGCAGAAAGGTCCTAAAGAGGAAAAATAAATAAATGAGCGTGCGTGTGTACACACGCACACACATACACAGACAGATACACAGACAGTGTCTCAGTCTGGTCTGGTGACTTTGCATTCAGTAAAATTCCACCCTGATGGGAATCTGGTGACTGTGCTCTGGCCGGCGTTACACCAAAAGCCCAGTCCTTTCACTGAGTGCCAGAGGGTAAAGCTTGTTTTGATTAGAGGGAGATTTGATCAAGGATACTGTCTGTCTGTCTGTCTGTCTGCAGAGTGCAGCGCTGAATCTTTACAGGGATGCTGTCCCACAAACTTTGCTGGACACTTGTGCAGAATGAGCTCTGAGAGGAGACTGAAGAGACTGCACAGGGTTTCTTCATTAAACTCTCCCAAAAACGTACAACTTGACATGAAAGTCTTAAAGTACACACAGTAAACACTTGTTTCTACAAGGTTGGTGAGTAAGTTACACTCCTGCGCCACTGCCCACACACAGTTTCCTGACGCATGACACCTCACGCTGAAACCCATCTCCGCTTCATGGAATATAACACTCTGCTGAAAACTTCACAAGATCACTTTTCCATTAAAGCCTGGCTGTTTCTTTTAGAGACACAGCCCTGAAATCACAACAAGGATCATGGGAATACTTTCAGAATACATCTGAAGATTTCCTGTGTATTTGTTTCATGTGTTTGTGTTTTATTCAATAAACGAACAAATATCTGATCACAAAACATCACAGGATAAATTATTGTCCCAACGTGGAGACGATGATGGATTTAAAAGGCTGTGTGACATGACAAAGCAGATTTTGACAAGTCAAAATTAAGTCTTGCCTGTTTTGACAAGTGAACATGAGGCAATACATCGATATAGAGTGAGTGAGATGGCAGCACTGACGACAGCTCATCTTCTTTATTTACCTTCTCTCACAGATTCTTTTTACACACACACAGCTTTATTATCGTGTTGTATTTGATGTTCTTATATTGAGCTCTTTTTGTTTTATTTTAATTAAGTCATCTAACACTTTTCATTGAACTGTTGACCCTGTGATAACCGACTGTGACAAACAAAACTTGAAACGAGTAGAGAACCTCTGAAGTAAATCTGAAGCACATCAATGATGTGTTATACTTCCTCACTGTGCTCACACAATGAATAGGAAATATAATGATATATTGGGCTTTTGCTCTGTTGCTTTTGATTATCACTGTATTGCAATAATTGTTATTAATGTTGTTTATTGCCCAGCCATGGTCAAGATGGAAGTTTTTGCAGAGTTTAATGAAGAAACTTTGTCCAAGTCTCTAAAGAATCCTTTTTGAGATTATTCTGGATAACTCCAAAAAGTATAAGAAGAAGAAGAAGAAGAAGGAGAAGGAGAAGGAGAGGAAGAAGAAGCCTGATCCTTAATGGGCACATTTAGGAAGAAAGTAAAACCAAACAAAGTAGAGTCACTGTAAATGTTGGTTAAATAACAGGACTGATTCAGATGAAGGTCTTTAAAGTCCAGCAGCTGTTTGGTGAATAGTTTAAATGTTTAAATGTTAAACTAGACACAGATGTGCTCAGCTGCTCAGCATCTCACTGTCACCGAGGGACTTTAACTCCTCCAGGAAACACTCAGCATCGCCAACGGGGACACGGACACTCACCGTCGATGTCCCCCAACGTGAACTCGTCCCCCAACTCCGCTAACGTCGTGTCCATGGTCTCGATGTACTCCCCGGTGTCCATCCTGTCCCGGCTGTCAGCAGCTCGCCTCCCCGGCCGCTACCGGATGGCCGCAGGGGGGGTGGGAGAAGAGACACGGTCCGCGGGCTGTCCTCTGGAGCTCAGCGACGCCTACGAACACACGCACCCGGTAGAGAAGGGTTGTCTTCACCGGAACAACCGTGAAACGACACCGGAGCCTCGGGAGAGGCGCGAGCTCACGGAGATAAACTCATTTACACCGATTTAGGCTGTAGGCGACGCCATCTTGCTTCACGCTCATTACGTCATTCACAAACAGACTCGGTGGCCCAAGACGGGCTCTGATTGGCTGAAACCCCTCCGTTGTTGTCATGAGACCAGTCGTCATCAACCAATGGCAGCGTCGCATTCAGCGTGGTCTGATCGTGCGTCAACCATCAGAAGCTCCTGAGTCATTTGAATAAACCGCGCCCCCTTCTTCATCAAAACAACTGGAGTACAAATACTCAGTGTATCAATACATACTCATACAAATACATACTCAGTGTATCAATACATACTCATACAAATACATACTCA